TTTCCAGAGACTTCGTCCGCGATGCCACTGTACTGCTTCAAGCCACATTTCAGAACCACAAGTGATCCGATTGGCACTGAGCTGATCCTGTTCATCGCCATTACTAAGGGAATCCTAGTTAGTTTCTTTTCCTCCGCTTACTTATATGCTTAAATTCAGCGGGTAATCTCACACACATCAGGCCTTCTAATGATGACATATTGCCATGGTGCGAACCGACAAGCGTGTTATGATATATAATAATCTCGCGACCGGACTGAACGCGTGATTCAAACACTTCTCTGCATTTATCAATAGATTTGACGTAATGCGTTGAAGAGAAGAATCGCGTGATCAAGGAACACGTGATATCACCACAACACAGTCGAGTTTGCGAGTACCTCGAGAGATACTCACAGGCGCAAGCCTCCTTTCGGAGGGGCTACAATACGAGATTATAGCCTTGCAAATTAATACGCCTGCCTTCACAAGCGCACATAACGAACCACCTCCGAAGAGTTAGTTCAAGCGGGATACAAAGCATTGAGTTGCGTTAACAACAAAATGTTTGTATCGGGAAGAAGAGCGACACTGATATGTATGTACAAAGAGGAAAGATCCCCTTTGTGCAGTATGCGTTGAGATTTCTACTGGTTCACGGAATTCTGCAAATCGCAGTGCTTATCGCACTTCGCTGCCGCCGGACGCTCCTATCGTACGGGACGCGTTGATAACTCACTCTTCCAACGGCCCTTCCTCCTCGTTGTTGCCTCACCAATGAGGGTTCGCAATTTGCTCTCGGTACTGCTTCGCCTCGTTGCTAACAGTGACGAGGCGAGGATGCCGTGCTCCGCCAGTTTATTAACACTGAGCAACTCAATCTCTTTTGTGATTATAACGAGGCAAATTGGGATCCTATCCCAAGAAAAGGGTGATCTAGACGATCGTACTTCCTCGTGCGACTGATGACTGATAAGGAGGTGAGAGGAGCGGTACGTGATAGTATCATAGTGATACGCCGCAAAAATGAAATAAGTCACGCGTCATCCAAGCGATGGTGAGATGATAGTGAGATGATGCAGACTCTCAAAGATGTCATCACTGCTGACTCAGGAGGGGGGAGGGAGCACCGAGGTTGCCCACGCTTAGGCCTTCTTCTTGTTGACGTTGTCGTTGGTGTTGTTCCCCGTCGAGCCTTCAGACTTGCTTTTGTCCCAAGGCCTTCCCCGTGGTCTCTTGTTGCTGCTGTCATTGTAGTTGTTGTTGGTTAAGTTGTTGTAGTTGGACCAGTTGCGCCAGGACTTGTTCTTCCTTTCTCTGGCAGCCACCGCCTCGTTGGCAGCTCTGAGAGAGACGTTCTGGTCCATCACACTGAGATCCTGAAGAACAGATCTGATGGGAACGCCTCGGCGAATAGCTTCGGTTGCTTTCTTCACCGAGTAGCGATGATAGAGCTGGGCGGCGACAGTGCCGCCAGGTTTGCCAGTGTGGGATAGAGTTCCTGTGCTGGCAAGGATCGACTCCAGATGTCCGAGTAAGTACCCCAAAGGTATGGACTCAATGTCAGCGGAGATGTGTGATGAGGGAGATGCAGATGCTCATCTCACCACCGCCCGGATGTA